ATGGCTCAAATCATTCTGCCGGTGTTGCATTATTGTTTAACAGATTTGAAGGGGACGTTTTGGAATCCATAACTTCAAATGAAGGACGGTGGATCATTTTAGTTTTAAAGGGAAAGAAAAGAAACAGGAAAAGGAATAATATTACATCTCTTAACATAAATGGTATCATAAGTTCAGACCCCAACATCATCTCCAATCATATTACCTCATTTTACAACAATCTATATACATCTAATTTTAATTAGACTAAATGTGAAACATTTATAAACCGCATTAAAGAGTTTACACCTCTGATTTCTGAAAACTTTAGAGATGCTTGCAATACTGAGCTCTCTTGCTCTGAAATAACTGAAGCTGTACGCTCAATGAGCTTAAAGAAATCACCTGGAAGTGATGGTCTGACAGTAGAGTTCTATCTTTGTTTTTGGGATTTGATTAAGGATCATCTCCTACTTATGTTTAAGGATTGTATAAAAAGGCAGGAAATGACAACCACAATGAAACAAGGTTTGTTAACCTTGATTCCAAAACCTGGTGAAGACCACTTAATAATTGAGAATTGGAGACCCATCTCACTTCTAAATATAGATTATAAAAGTTTACGCTAAGTGACTAAAAAAAACTTAGATGAGATAAGTGAAAATCAAAATGGCTTTTCATATAAGTTCTAATATTAGATTACTGTTAGATCTAATTTGACTATTCTGATTTTATAAACTCTAATGCATTGATGCTTTTCCTTGACTTCTGCAAGGCATTTGATTCGATAGAACATTCTTTTATTATACAGACCTTACATACCCTAGGTTTTGGAAGCAATTTCATGAATGTTATTGCCATGTTCTATAAAGCTCATAACCAGCTCAGTTATCTTGTATCCCACAATGTCTAAAAGGTTTTCTGTATCAAGAGGTGTACATCAAGGCTGTCCTATTTCTTGTTTTCTATTTCTAATTGTTGCTAAATTTTTATTTTTGAACATCTCACAGAATTCCAATATTCATGGTTTAACAATCTTTGAAAGAGAGGTAAAGATTTCCCAGCTAGCAGATGACACGGTTTTATTTCTTAAGAATAAATCACAAATACAAGCTGCGCTACAGACTACTCAGGAATTTTCAGATGCTTCAGGCCTTAAACTTAACATCAACAAATCTGAAATATTATGTCTCTATTAGACTGATGAACAATTTATGTTTAATATTCCTGTCAAGCAATGTGTTAAATATTTAGGGATTCATATTACAAAAAACCTCACCCAGAGACAGCAATTAAACTTTCCCCCTAAAATCAAAAAGGCGAAATCCATCTTTAAATGTGATAGCTACAACTTTTTCATCAAAACGAATAATTTTAAAAAAATAATACATCCACAGAACATTTAGAGGGGTGTAGAATAAAAGTATTAATTTTACTGAAAAAAAATATTATAGCATAGAAATAATTGTTTTATAAATTTTGACGGGTCCAAAATATATAAATATTTACATCTGGTTACGTTGGCTACGTCGACATGAAATGATCCCTGAGCCAATAGCATTAGTACGTTGATGTCACGTGAGGCGGAGCTCAGGGGTCGCCAGATCGTGATAGCTCTGTGGAGAAATGGCATCGTCTCGGCGTTATATGTCTCAAATTCGAGCAGACCAACAACAAAGCGGGACCAGAGTGAACATCGGTCAAGCTTTTGAGCGTTGGTGCCAGCTGAAGGAAGAAAAGGGGCTCAAAAGCCACGCAGAGGTCGCCGCTTTCCTTCTGGACAGGTAAGCTAAATGTTTGCTAATGCTAACTAACATTGCTAGTTAACATGAAGAGCAAAACTCTTGCCAAAATGCAACCTAGGGTGTTTTTGTGAATGTACCCGAGTCAAACTTTAGTTTAAAACCATAACTATGACTGAAAACCCATTTTTAAGATTGAGCGTATTTTCGTTTTCGGGTCAAAATGCCCTTGGAATGGGTTCTGTAGCGGCACTAACGTTACTATAAACACATCAAGAGGGCCCTAGCTCTTGTGCCCTCCTCATTTGGCCCTGTGCCCTTGAAAAAAATATCTGCCCTAAGGCCACAGTGGCCTTAATGCCCCGCCCGCACTGCCCCAGGTGATTTTGCGGTTTTCTCTTCTGCCTCTTTCCTGTCAACACGGCTTTGACACCTGCGTCTATTGAAAAAAAAATAATGCGATGACATTTTGGACTGAGCAACATCAAATGAGACGGGGTTTGATTTGAGCCTGGCATGAACCGTTGGGACGGGCTGTAACGACAGTTAGACACCACTTCACCCTGTAAAGATATCAATGGTTTGTTTGTACATTTTGATTGGAAAAACAAACACCACCATCTCAAAAAAGACATCCTTAGTTTAGAGAGAGCAGAAGGTGGGCTGGAACTTCTGAATTTTTTTCATTTAAATTCCACTTTTAAAATCAAATGGCTTAAGAAATGTTTGGAGCAACCGACATCACTGTGGTATTTTATTCCACACAGTTTATTTAAAATGGTAGGTGGCTTAAAATTTTTACTAAGTTGCAATTTTACTGTCGCTAAATTACCAGTTAAATTTTCAAAGTTTTATCAGCAGGCCTTATTGGCATGGAAATTGTGTTATGTGCATAACTTCTCTTCTCATAAGGAAATAATTTGGAACAATGGCAATATTACTGTCAAAAACAAGACTTTATATAAGGAAAGCTGGATTGAAAGGGGTATAATTTTTGTTGCGGATCTATTTGAAGGTAATGGCAATCTTTATAGATATGAAAATTTCTTAAAAACAAAATCCTTTCCAGTCAAATTCAAAGAATTTGCTTCTGTTGTAAAGGCCATTCCTCAGAGTATACTCGGGTTAATGAAGTGTCACTTAACTTATCAAAAGATTGAGGTTCAGACACCTTCTTTCATGATTAGAGGGACTGATATACTCGATAGAAAATTTACCAATAAGCATGTTAGGAATGCACTTCATAGCTATAATAAGATCTCCCCCAAAGGAAAGTTCTTCTGTAATTCACAATTAGTCGATATTAATTGCCGTAAAACATGGTTGTGCCCCTTTCAATTCTGTATTTCAAATAAAATAAGAGAACTTCATTTCAAAATACTACACAACATTTATTCTTGTAACAACACAATTTCCTGACTTGGATGATAAATGCACTTTTTGTCCTGTGTCATCTGTGTTTTGGAGGGATTTTGAAAAATAGACATATCATCACAGTCGGTCTGAAGGATATTATTACAAAATTTGTATGTAATGATAAATCTTTGTCCTTTGTAATTAATCTTATGCTACTAATCGGCAAATTTTACTTACATAAAATGAGAATGTCCAAATCCCTGTATGTATGTATGTATGTATGTATGTATGTATCCCTTGTATGCCTTGAAATTTCAAATAAAAATTAAAGATTATAAAAAAAAATAAAAAATCAAACTTTACTGCGTCGGCTCGATAGGCTCGTTCGAGATTAACTGCGCCTCGCCTGGAAAGTAGACGAGAGCAGGCGGCCGCAGCGGGGGGCGGTGACAAAAAGCCGCAGTGAAGTCGGACAGTTTCCCGACAGTTTCCAGCAGCCTTCAGTCCCTACAGGAAGTCACAGACACACTTACATCCTGTCTGGAATGATGTCAGTTCATTAAAAAAGTGATCAGTCCCATTTATCAGTTTGTTTTCACCATCAGTCACACAACATGTTTTCTGTTCACAGAATAAACCTTCAGGTCAGACAAATACAATCTTAATCTCTAGAATTCAACAAAAATGAGTAGTTTATCTAAAACGTCATCTTGTTGAGTCGACATCTGAACCAATCAGCTGTTAGATCAGGTGAGAGCCAGGCGGTGCAGTCGGTGGAGAGCAACTGCAGCGCCTGGCTCTAAAAACTGCGGCCGCCTCGCTCTCGCGGTTTTATCGCCGTCCACTTTTGTAATACGTCAGAGCAAGTCGGGATGAAGTCGGACACAAAACTAACCGGCATGCATTGTGCACCGATCGCCGGTGATCGAATCTGCGCAGGACTGGCTTATCTCGAACGAACCTAATAACAAAGCCGAGACTGCAAGGCATGCTGGGAGACGACATGACATTTCGTAAGGTGCAGTGCCACGAAACATCCAATAGGTGGTACTATACCACCTATAACATTACCCGCCTAAAACACATTACACACCTGCAATAGTAAGAACAGAGCCGACAGACTATGAAATGACTGTGTTATCTCTTTCTCACCTTTCTGAAGGAATCCCAACAAACAAAGGAGGAGGATGACTGCTCGGTGCACCATTTCTGCTGCTGGTCTGGGTCTACCGCTGAAAGTCTAAAGTGAAACTATTTATGTAGCCTAGGGACGTGTCCACGCCGGTCAGCTGACATTACGTCTGTGCACATGCGCACAAACAAGCCTGAGCAGCATAAATCACTGCAGCAGTGGTTCCCAACTTGTGGGTCACGGGTCCACTCTGGATGGACCTTAAAAAGACACTTTATTTTTAAGTGCAGTGAATTTCCAACACAAAGCTTTTATTTTGAAGTGCTGTTTCCTGCTCTGGAATGAGTGACAGCCAGACAGCTACCTAACAGAGACAGCCAAAGCCACATACTGTATACCCAAATGATTAATGTTACAGTATTTATAATTTTAAAGAAAAAGAACCTACTAATCACAACACAAGAGTAGCACCATGCAGAATCAGCTGAATATAAAGCTTCCACACTTTATTCTTTAAGTCAAGTTATTGATTCAAAGTCCTTTATGGCACGTTGGTGCAGTGAGAAGAGGATAAAATCTTTCTAAACACTCTCATATATTTTCAGTTATATTTCCAGAACATGGACGTATTGGTTAATGACCTTTGTTTCTGTGTCCCAGGACTTCCAGACAGGGAAGTTAAAGGGTCCTCTCACTATCCAGAGACATACATCACTGGACAAACACCTCACTGTCATGAATAAGAATCAGGGGCAACAGCAACATGAAGTGAACAGAAGTGAAACCACTCATGACATTAACACATCTGTTTTATAAACAAAACAAAAATAAATTAACATAAACAGAGAATAATTAAATCTACAACATTAGATCATTAGAAACACCTTGGACATACTGCACAGCACATCAAGTGCAGAAACATATAAACAGACAGAAGACGACAACAACAAAAAAACATCTGACCCACATACAGTCAGCACTTTACCGCAATTACAACTACATAATGTGTCCAGACAGAAAAAAACAGAGTCAAGTGCAAAATTAAGAACACACAGAAAATATTATGCAGAAAATAACATCATGTGTATTATTTAATATGTTAGCTGTAAATTAAACTTTATAGCTGCATACAGTTATAGTTATATACAAATGTGCTATGTGCATGCACTTGGGCTCATGTGAACGTCTTCCTCCTCACAAAGCACACTAGATGGCACTATAACCTCACAGGACATTTCCTTTTTCTCATCAAAACACATTAGCTTGTATTCTGTCATCTGCCTGTTAGATTAGTTTGAATCAAAGCTTTACTGTTGCACTGTGTTGCAGTTCACTGTGACTCTGAGTTAGAGTGAAGTTACCTGCTTCAGAGCTCTACATGTGACTGTTGAAGCTCCAGGGAGCTGCTTTCTTCTAGTTCCTCTGTTTTGCTTTAACAGTCTTGTGGCTATGGTAAAAACAGCTGTCGCTGACACCCTGCTATCAGAGATCATTCTTTTGGGGAGCCGTTTTCTTTATTTTTCCCAGGAGACATCTGTTGCCGCACCTCGTTCTCTTGAATCAGTAAAGGTGTTTTGGGCCTTCAGATAAAAACAACATATAAGTCAGTTTCCAAATCACTCTGAACAACAGTGATGATAAACAAGCTGACTATGAATACACAAAGGTCCATGAAGAGTACAGTGCATTGCAGTTGACTTAATAAATATGTTAATACATAAGTTAGGGAGGTACAGATGAAAGCTCAAGTGAAAAATGAATAAAGTGTCTTACTGAGTGTCTTTGGTTGTTCTTCGTGGTGTCCTGTTCTCCTCAGAGTCTCTGTGTGACACATTGAAGGATTTAAAAAAAGTCAGTGCTGAACTGCTGAAATTTATTTGTGGGTTTTGTCGAAATAGATCTCAATGAATCATTATTTTATTAACTGTGAGACACTGGTGTTACAACAAGGTCAGTTTAAAATCACCTGTTCTGATGTTTCCTTATAAGCAGGATGATGATGATGACTGTAGCAGCAACACAAACACAGGACACCACGACCAACACAGTGATCAAAGTGACATCTGTGAGAAGAGAGGAAAATTAGTAACACTCAACATTCATAAAGCAACTACAGATCAAATGGTGAGACTGACATGAGACCACATAAAGGTTCACTTACTGAGATCACTGTTAACAGACCCAGATTCCTCATCAACACCTGGAAAAAGAAACTCAAACATCAGAACCATAAAGTATTTATCAGTCTATCAGTCAGTATCTTCTTAAGTGTTTCTCACCATCAGTAGACGACAGTGTGACCTCAGGAAGCAAGGTAACATGATATCACATCAAGTTTTTACAGGACACACTTTAAGGATGATGGAGATGTCTTTAAGAACACTGTAAGGTTGTTACCATAGAGTTGGAGGCAGGTTGAACCAGTGAGAGCTCCGTCAGGGTAGGTGTTAAACAAACAGTGATAGCATCCTTCATCTTCCTCCATCACCCTCTTGATAACTATGGAGCTGTTCTGCAGTCCAGCATATTTAAACTCCACTTTATCTCTAAAGTCAGGATTCACTTTCTCACCAAAGTATTCGGTGTAAGTAGCGATATTCTTCACCCCCTCAGGTAAAATTTTCTGCCATGTGACTTGAAGAACATCTTTAGGTTGCATCAGCTGACAGTTTAAAAGAGCCTCTTCTCCCACTGCTGCCATCACAGTCTGCTGAGTCTCTATCACAGCTGCTAGACCTGCATGGAGGACAGTGTCAGAGGTGAGGCAGCGTGTTCCTCTGTAGGTCAAGTGTGAAACATATGGTACAGTAGAAAGATAAACGTGTGATTTCATGTCTAAGTATCCTGAGTGACTGCCTGCCTTCACCTGACCATAAGTCTGAGAGGAGCTGCTGAACACAACTGTCCACAGCAAATCAGTGGCACAAAAAATAATATAACACATCATATTTCTTCACTTCAAATAGTCCAAAATCTAAAGAATACAGGATTTAGGATAAAGGGGCGGAGCATAACCTTTTACCTGATAGGTAAACTACACCTGCATTCCCGCTTGCGCCTGTTGTTGTTGTTGATGTTGTTGTGATATAATAGGCTACAATAGTCAGGTTTAACTCAGTGATGAAGTCTCATTTGTTAAGTATCTGTTGCTTTGCAAACTTCTATGTAAAACTGGAATATTGTCATTGAACAGTGTAAAAGCATTTTCACAATAACCTGTTTGGGTTCATGGTGTAACAATGATGAAACTGCACACATATAGCTTCGTTGATATCAAACTTTACTGCATCACTCAGATCACAGCACAATAACAAAGGCGAGACTGCAAGGCATGCTGGGAGACTACATGACATTTCGTAAGATGCAGTGCCCCTAAACATCCAACAGGTGGTACTATAATACCACCTATAACATCTCCCTTTTCTATAAGTAACCCAAAACTCTTTTATAACACTTAAGAGCTTAACCAGACAGATAGTTATACATTGCCACTGTAACATAACCTCTATCTGCAAGACAATAACACAGCTCCACTTATCTCCCCCACTGTTTCTGAGGTCCATAGAGAGCCAGGGGCATGTGGACTGCTGGGAAGCCCGCTGGGAGCAGGCTGGGGAGAAAACATTCATGCCCTCTCACCCTCAGTCATTTCACCTGGTGCCCGAAACCCATTGCCTTCAGCTGCAGGCTCCTCTGAACCTGTCATAGGGTTTTGTGATGGTATCGGCTCTGCCATACGTAGGTCGACACGGTTGCGATGATAAAGAGAGCCCTCGACCTCCACCAGGTAGGACCGTGGAGCTACTTTGCGCAGACACACTCCCCGCTGCCAGTTGCCTGTCCTGTTCCCAGGCAGTGTTTTCATTCGAACTGTTTCACCCACTGCAAGTTCAGGTAAGTCCTTCGCAGTCCTGTCATAGATGAGTTTAGACACCTGTTTCCTGTGGTGCAATTTGTCAACTACATCTGTAATGACCCGTGGCTCAAGAAGTGCAGGAGCCACAGGCAGAGCTGACTTCAGACGCCGTGCCATCAGACGCTGGGCAGGACTGCTGTCTATTTCCTCTGTAGGGGTGTTTCGCCACTGTAATATTGCTTTCCAGGCATCCTTGCCTTCCCGAAGTGCTTTCTTGCATAGATTCTTTGCAATTTTAACAGCTGCCTCTGCCTTTCCATTGGCCTTGGGATGCCTTGGTGAGGAGGTGACATGTTCAAGCTCCCATTCCACAGAAAACTAGCAGAAGTGACTACAGGCAAACTGGGGCCCGTTGTCAGTGATGACCCTGTCAGGTTGCCTGTATTGAGCAAAATGAGCCTTGCACCGTTTTATTGTAGTCTCTGCACTGAGGTCTGGCAGACCATCAATCTCACAGTAATCTGAGTAATGATCCACCAACATCAGAAAGTCTTTCCCACTGTGTTAAAACAGATCTAGGCTCACAATTTGCCAGGGACGTGTGGGCAGTTCATGACTCAGCATTGTCTCTTTCTCATGTTCTACAGCGTACTCGCTGCATGTTGTGCACTTACTGACAAAGTCCTTAATTTCCCTCTGCATTCCAGGCCAGTATATGGTCTCCCGTGCCTGTCTGTAGCAGGCGTTGCCTCCGATGTGACTGCAGTGTACTCTGGCGAGCATTTCAGCTCTTAGTGACTTGGGGATCACAACTCTCTGTCCTCTAAACAACACCCCATTTTGAACACTTAACTCCTCTTTGATAGGCCAGTACTCTCTTACTGCCTGCTCAGTTTCGTCCTTTTTCGACCATTTTCGTTGACTGGCCAGCCATTCAGGATGATAGCCTTCACGGCTTGCAGCTGTGTGTCACTGTCTGTGTGTTGCTGTATCTGCAACAATCTTTTGTCAGTGATGTTGAGATAGTCAGCCATATTTATGTGCTCAATTGCCCGCTGCTCATCCACCATACTACAGACTGTGTGCTCCACATGCATAGAGCTGGGGTGTGCATTGGGCGCAACAGCCCTGTTCAGTGTGTCACTCACGAACATTTCCGGTCCTGGCTTGTAGATAACTCGCAGGTTGTAGTTCTGGAGAGCCAGTAGCATGCTCTGCAAGCGCTTGGGAGCATTAAGAAGGGGCTTACTGAAGATTGCTACGAGGGGCTATGAGGGGATGGAAACGCTGGCAGGCAAACGCTATGCTGAGGCACTCCTTCTCTATCTGCGCATAGTTTTGTTCAGTGGGTGTGAGTGCCCTTGAAGCAAACGCAATAGGCTGTCCCTCCTGCATCAGACAGCAGCCCAAGTCATGCTGGCTGGAGTCACTCTGCACTGTGACGGGTTTTGCAACATCATAGTATCGTAGCACAGGTGTCATCGTCACAAGCTGTTTTATCTCCCTGACAGCTGCATCATGCTTTGGTAGCCAGTGCCACACTGTGTCCTTTTTGGTGAGTCTCCTCAGAGGCTCACATACTTCCGAAAGCTATGGAAGGAACTTGGCCAGGTAAGTGACGAATCCGATGAGTCTCTGCACACTCTTGACTTCAGATGGGGCTGGCATGTCCAAAATGGCCCTGACTTTTTCTGGGTCGGCCTTGAGTCCCACAGCTGACAATATATGGCCATGGAAACGCACTTCAGATACTTTAAACTGAAGCTTCTTGACAATGAGCCGCAACTTGACTTGTCGACAGCAGTCTAGAAGAGCTATCAGCTTAGCATCATGGTCTCTGCCTGCCTCTTCCTCACTGTCACCACAGCCTACAANATCATGGTCTCTGCCTGCCTCTTCCTCACTGTCACCACAGCCTACAACGAGGATGTCGTCCGCTATAGGCTCCACTCCTTCAAGCCCTGCCAACAGCTCATGCTGCTTCCTCTGGTAGACCTCTGGAGCCACTGACACACCAAATGGAAGTTTCAACCATCTCTTTCGGCCCCAGGGTGTCCAAAAGGTGGTCGTGAGGCTACTGACTTCATCCAGCTTACACTGCAGAAAAGCATCTCTTGCATCAACCAGTGTGAAAACTTTGGCTTTGGGCAGCTTGTAAAGCACATCCTCCAGCATGGGCATGATGTAATGAGATCGCTTGAGTGCACGGTTGAGGTGTGCAGCTGTAAACATATGCGCAGCTTTTCTGGTCTTTTGACGATGACCATATTGCTGATCCAGTCCGTGGGCTCACTGACAGACGTGATATGGCCCTCCGCTTCATATCTGTCCAGCTGAGCCTTCACAGCGTCCTTCATGGCTACAGGGACATTGCGTGGTGCACACTGTACCGGCTGAACTGCTGGATCCAGCTCAGAGTGAACCTCTCCAGGGAGTGCCTCCACCAGACTCATGAAGACATCATGATATGCTGTGATGACTGCATTTCTGGAGAGAGGCTTGGTGAGGCTGTTATTCACTGTGCTGATCTCCTCCACTCTGAGCTCCTCTGGGATGGTAAAGTGTATGAGCCCCATCTCCTCTGACATGGAGCCTGACAGCAGTGGCAACTGCCGTGTGTTCACAACCTCAAACTTCAATTTGTATTTGCGACCCCGCACCACACAATCCGTAAAGACCCCTAGTGATGGCAGCCCGTGGTCTGAATACAGCTTAAGTGCGGTGCTGCTGTGTTTTAGCTTTTCTCTCGGAGCCAGTCTCTTCTTGTCTCTGAGACTCATGACGTTGCACGTAGCTCCCGAATCAAGCTGGCATCTCTGTAATTTTCCATTTAGCCAAAGATTGACAAAACATTTTTTACCTTTTGTCCTCACTGCTCCAATGCATAAGCTACCGTCTGCCAGGGAAACGTGGAAGAGTGCACGAGGCTGAAGATCAACACCGTAGCAGAAATATTTTTGTCAAGTTTGTCAGGTATGAAACCAAACTTCAAATTATGAGAAACAAAAAACGTCTAAGGAGTATTGATGGGAAAAACAGAGTCTTTATTGAGGAAGACCTTACGCCTTTGAGAGGAAAGATCCTGAGACAAGTGAGGATGGATCCAGAGATTAAAAGAGCCTGGAAAATGGACGGTAACATCTGTTGCATCATAAAGGACAACGATCAAGAGGTGAAGAAAACCATCTACTCCGGTGATGAGCTAATGTCCAAACTGGGATGGTCTGCAGAAAAAGCCCAAAGTGTCGGGATTTATGTAGACATCCCCTAGGCAAGAGATGACCCCTCACTAAATGCAACTTGTATCAAGGATGAAACTTGTAAAAAATCTTCAGATAGATTTAAGACTAAACAGGAGACAGATATCAAATTCCTTGGACTAAATGTGTGTGGATTACGTGCTAAATTTCAACTTGGGATTCTTACAGAATACATTAAAGACTATGACTTTATTTGTTTAACAGAGACCAAAACAGATAATATCTGTAAATCA